TCTTTCTATTTTGTTCACATTTTTTTCTCGAATTTAGACACGAATTTTAACCTGCAAAGTTGGCCGCGGATTGCGGCAATTGTTCCGGTGAGTAGCAGTAATTGCCTTGAATTTTATCCCCAGAAATAATACTTTTCCCATGGTAACTCATTTATATTGAATTCCTTTTCCTTCAATATTGCCCCTCCCCTCTGACGCGTTCCATAAAAAATTTTAAATTTATTCTCTTCAACGATGCGAGAGATATATTTTTTATAATTTTATTGACTTGTGTTCTTTTATTCAAGTGAATTAATGATATAATTTTTTGTACTTTTATTATATTGTTGCATGCAAATTTTGATTGCTCTATTAGCATGGTTTATAATTGATAACACTCCCACTCGCATGCAAACCGCATTTCGCATTTCCTACTGTACAATTAATTTAACCTATAAAAATTCATACTTCCCTCTCCCTGTTTTCCTTCAAACCAATCTTGGGTTAATTTTCTAGCTATATGCGGGTGAGGGTCTAACGGCCAATATTTGTGCACGTTAAATTGCTTTTTAATTTTGAAATTAACGTTTTATTGATTGATTTTAAATAAATATGAAGTCTCCAAAATTTCACCTGAGTAAATTACTAATTTCCATTTTGAATGAATTCAAATTCAACAATAATCTCAATCTGATTATCTAATCGTTTGAGTTTCCTAAACATGGATAACCATGTTTTATTATTAAGTCGAACAATATTTTTCTTTCTAAAATGCTAGTTTATGCGCGCTAATTTACTGACGGAGAAAATGTTCACAAGCTTCATTTTTGTACCTAATTTACTGAATTATATGTTCATAAGATTTATTTGTATGCCTGATTGACTCAACTGAAAAGTTACATTTTGTAATGCAATGATATTTTCCAGCGCTTGTTCCCGAACTGCGTTCAGCTCGCACCAAACTTCAAAGTGGAGTGGGAAGGCAAAGGAGATTCTTTGGAGATCCGTCTCACCGCCGAGATAGACGAGAATCAGTACATGTCATTTGGCCTGTCTCCGCGCCAGGGAGAGTGAGTGATCCACGACGAATGGTTTCATATTTTTGTAATTGATAATTTAAAATAAATAAAATGTAAAAATAAATGAAAATTATTATAAAAAAAATTAAAAATGAAATAAATAAAATAATAAATAAAATTTATAGTCACATTAAACTAAGTGAAATTTTTCTATTTAGGGATATTTGTGAACTTTTAAACCAGTGGGTTGAATTTGCGCGCTATTTCAATGTCCCTGTAAACTTGATTAAAATTTTGAAAATTTTAAATTTGATTTCGTATTGTTGCTCGATGTTGCAGTTTGCGGAATCTTAGGACTCATAATCTTAGGAAGTTTTCATCTAGTGATTCATGTTAATTTATGATAATATTTATTACTATGATTTCTTTTAAGATTGTCTTAGCACTCTAAAGTATCGAATTTTACGCTCTAAGTTTTTCAAACGATAATTAAAACCAGTCTAGACGTCAGGGAGCTTCTGAAAACTATGATTTCATACTCGAGTTTCTAAGTCTGAAATTCCTAAAGTCAGCAAAAGTTGAATATAAATAAAAACTTTAACTCATGATTCATAGCATTTAAAGTTTAAACAGTATATATCGATAGTCTGCTTAAATCGCTAGTACACCAAGAATTTAAAAGCAAAAATGTATATAGTAAATTCATCTTTTCTTAAATGAAAACATTTTCAATTAAAATATGGTTAATTTGTTCGGCGTTTTCTTTGTATTCAAATTATTTTTGAGTCATTGTGAACTTAAGTCGCGTCGCGCCAAAGTTACGATCAGTCTGTCGAGATTTGTAGTCAACGCGTTCTGCTTTAAACAAATTATCGTGATCACTTTTATGTTCGCTATGAAATCCTTGCAACTGAAGTCCGTAACTTCATATTACGAGCTTAATTGCTTACTCATTTGGTAGGCTTTTGGTAAAAAAATTGACTGTAATAAATCTTATTTTTTATTGTAAAAATGTATAAGAGCTCCTTATGTTTGGCTGTTCCTCAGACCCGTGATGGAAAACAGCGATGTTGTGGTTGCATATTACGACTCGGCCGATGGCTCGTATCACGCCGTCGACTACTCCATCACTGCGCGGACGCCTGTGAGTATTTTTTGGCTCTATCCAACCCAAAGTTAACGACAGAATAAGAATTATTTCAATACATTTAAAAAATTTTATTATTTGTTTGGTTTAATTATAATAAATGAAGTAATTTAATGAAAATATCATTGCATTACAAAATGTAACTTTTCAGTTCAGTCAATCAGGCATACAAATAAATCTTATGAACATATAATTCAGTTAATATTAGGTACAAAAATGAAGCTTGTGAACATTTTCTCCTTCAGTCAATTAGCACGCATAAACGTGCATTTTTAGAAAGAGACGAATTGGTTCAGGAACATAGTTATGGAGAATTTTTTTTTGATGGAGTTCATAATGCACTGAACACGTTGATGAAGAAATGCTGAGAATTCTATTATTTGATATATGCAGAATGTTTCCGTGAATGATAATGATCAATCGATTAATCGATGATATCATACTGTATTTACAACGATAAACACGATGTACCCACGATCTCTAAATCACTCGGGGGGAAAAAAGATTTTTCAAATCACACGAAAATCATGCAAGTTAATATATTCTTACAAATAATTTGTCTAATTTTTTTTTCGATCTCAATATTGCAGTGCGACGGCACGTACGGAGTTTGTCCCGACGAACGAATTGGGTTCCGTAACGACGCTAGCGTGATAACGGGCGAACGTAGCGACGGGTTCACGTCGATTACGTACAAGCGGCCGTACGAGACGGGCGACCGTCACGACCTGCCTGTCTTGAACGGGCCCCAGACGGTTGTGGCCGCCATTGGGTCTCTGGACGTCATGAAGGAAGCAAAATACCATACACAATTCGTCACTAAACGTAAATAATTTAGAAATGTTGAAAATTTTCGTATAATTTCGTTTGTCTGTAACTTGGAAAGTTCCATATATTTAATATCACATCGTTAAATTATGCAATTTTACAAGAGTACATTATTATTCTCCAGATTAATTACTAGCCTCAGTGCTGAATTCCAAAGGAATTTCTTTCTAGCCATTTTAGAATTACATGAAGGTTATTTCTAGTGCTAAAAATGCATATTATTAGTTTACATATATAAAGTATTACATAAAAAATTACTTTTTTAAACGCCCAGAGAACATGCTTCTTGACCGCACTTTCTAGCTTTTTAGTATTACGCGGAGGGTATTTCTAGTGATAAAAAATAAAATACATATTAGTTTACATATANAACAGCTGTTTGCACTCGAACAGCTGATTGCACTCGAACAGCTGTTTGCATTCGAACAGCTGTTTACATTTGAACAGCTGTTAGATGTTTACAGCGGCATCAGCTATTTACAATCGAGCCCGTTGCTTATAACGGTTCACATTCAAACCCCTGTTTATATCCGTTTACAGTCAAATCAGTTGTTTACAGTTGAATCAGTTGTTTACAATACAACCAGTTACCTATAGCTGTTTACAGTCGCACCAGATGTTTACAGTCGCACCAGATGTTTTCAAAAGAACCAGCTATTTTTACAGTCGCACCTGCACTTTACAGTCGCACCAGATGTTTGCACAGACCAGCCATGACAGTCTATTTCTAAACTTCAACAAAAGTCACTAAACATCAACTGTTCATTCGTCATCGACTGTCTCAGCTGTTTAGCGCTTCAAAAGAATAAATTGAATATAACATCAAAAAAATATCAATCAATCACTACTAGGTTACAATTCCACTAAAATAGCCGATTATTCTCACCCTTAATGTTTTTATTTTTTAAATTCCCTTCGATGTTGTCTGTTACATTTTAGCGATAGAATTTCAAATTTATTCCATTTGCCGACACGGCATTCAAAATTTGCTCACAAAAATGTTCTTTTCTTGCACTCAAGGAAAAAGGCGTCGCTACGGTGAGTTATTGTGACAGATTCCACAATTATATTTATTTATTTTTTTACAATATTATCACTTATCGACTTGAACTGTGTTATTTTATCTGTGCCCTTCTTAACGAATCTTATTGAATAAGATCATAATTCATTTAACAAGCCGCCTGAAAACGTTTATTAGTGACTCAAAATATCAATATTATTCAGGGCAGAATGATGTATATTTTTCAATTGATCCAAGCTTAAAATCTTTTAAGTTTGTGGCAGTGATTCATCTATGGACTATTCGCAGGCATTAATTATCATTTATCCTAACAATTTACTTTACCTAAACAATTACATTCACGTCTTTGCACATCATCTTCAATACTTTTAGTACAAGATTATTGTATTTCCCATGCCTAGATTAAACATTGAATGACTTCATTGTGAGCAATTACAAACTAAATAATTTCAAATCATAAGTGTAATTTAAATTACTAATTTAATAAATAATTATTTGTTCACAATTATCCTCAGGTACGCCATCTTGGGGCATCGCGTGGTGGGTGAACGAGTTACTCATTCCTGAGATCTACGTGGTGCGTGGCCAGACTTATTACTTCGTGGTGGAGGGGGGCGACGATCCCACGAAGCAGGCCTCGTAAGTACAGTACACGCAGTGCTTATTACTTCGTGGTGGAGGGGGGCGACGACCCCACGAAGCAGGCCTCGTAAGTACAGTACACGCAGTGCTTATTACTTCGTGGTGGAGGGGGGCGACGATCCCACGAAGCAGGCCTNCCAATGTCGTCGTCTGAGACCGACCCTCTTTCTGCTTCTGACGATACGGCCTGAATTACTTAACCACCGATCGCTTGCTGATTAAATAACTGGATAATAACAATCGTCGTTCATAATTATTATTCACTAGTTCGTTTGTCATCAACGACCTGGTTTGCACCGTACCACTAGTTCGTTTGTCAACAACGACCTGGTTCGCACCGTACCTCTAGTTCGTTTGTCAACAACGACCTGGTTCGCACCGTACCTCTAGTTCGTTTGTCAACAACGACCTGGTTCGCACCGTACCTCTAGTTCGTTAGTCATCAACGACCTGGTTTGCACCGTACCTCTAGTTCGTTTGTCATCAACGACCTGGTTTGCACCGTACCACTAGTCCGTTTGTCATCAACGACCTGGTTTGCACCATAACATTTGCTGATTCAATAACATTATTTTCTTTTGCTTTACAGTTGGACGTCTTTGCCAGTGGAAACCAAACGCGCGCGACTCGTGGAAGGAGAGCGCCACGTTCGCCGAGTACCGCAACACGCTGTACAAAGACTGCGCTGACGGCAAGCCAGGCTACCTCGAGTGGACGGTGCCTAAAGACACTCCCGACCTGGTCTACTATCAGGTTAGTGATAGCGGTAAAATTAATTAATTAAATTAATTAAACAAAATTACAATTAAACAAGCTTAAATTAATAACAAAAATATTTTATAAACGAGATAAAGCAGCTCAAATGCAATTGTGAACATAATATTTAATGACGGCGACGTAACACGTTGAAATTATTTGTGGCATGAATAAATTTTTGGCACATGCAAAAAGCAATGGGTCCTTTTACATGTATATCTAATATACCTCTATTAGACATCGCACGATATAACACTAAACTAAATGCTGCAGAAACTATTAAAATATTGTACTCTATTACCTATTTTAAAACATTTTTCCTCGCCAGTGCTACACACACCGCAACCTCGGCTGGAAGATCCACGTGAAGAATGAAGGAGTCCCTCCTAGCGAACGCTTCAGCGGCGCCCAGGCGAGTGTGTCGTCCGCGGCCGCCGTTGTGCTGGCCTTTGCCGTGTCTGCTCTGCTAAGATGAAAAACTCTCTCGTCTTGTTAACGAAAGTCTACTTTATTGCTTCTCATGACGATGCTGGAAGGAAATTATGGGTAGGAAAGCTCACCTGTCTTTCCATCGTGAGACTGAAAAAAAAATTTTAAAGCCAACCTGATTAGTCGTGCGTGATTCCCGGATCAAGATATTTGATAATATAATTATGATTAATCACCCTTAGCATCCAGATAAAGGGGATAGATGTGGCGAATGATTATGAGGAGCTTACTTATGCACAATACATTAACTTGATTAATGCAATTAAATTTGTGAAATAATTGGGAGGAACGCCAGGTTCATATAGGTTTATCTTGCCCAGAAATGCATTACATCGAAATCGGTAAATATTGTGAAAATTTCTGAGGAAGCAGAGAATAATGAGCATGAATATACGAGGTGGCGAGCCTTGGTCTTTTAATTTTTATGAGATATTGCATTCATAATTGCCTGCTTAGAATTATATTGTGGTAGTTGATTGTTAATCCACGAATGATTGGCCAACCCCTATCTGGCTATTGGTGTAATAACTGCTGCACAATATACATAGCTTAACTTTGAGGGTTCCTGGAAATTCATGAACAATTAAGTAACCCTCTTTACCTTGCTTGCAAGGTTCGTAGTTTTTAGCAAGGTAATATGCTACTGTTTTTATAATTCAGGAAGAAGCTCGTATTTGTGCACTCATTTTAGCAGATGTGAAAATAAGCACACCAGATGAAGAATTTCCCGAGAGTATCAAACTATCTTCGTTTTTATTGTCGATCTATTTATTCAGAACTATATTGTATTTACGTTTTGACAGTAGTGGCTGCAAGAATCGGCCAATTTATTTTTAAGCATATCTATAATTTGTATATCATATTAGTTTTAATAACTTTTATTTATACTCAGAGTCTATAACTACTCTTTAGTACTGGACATAATATTGAACATCGAATGCTGTATTTACAATATATTCAAGAATGCGATTGGTTGTGATGTTACCTTTGTGCTTACTACAGCTAAACACGTTATTAAGAAAGCGTTTTAATAAATTGATAATAACACAGGTTTGTTGCTGGTTATGTATATTAGTAGCAAGGGAATGAGCTTACATATTATCTTCATTACACCGTAACGATCTTACAAAATTTATTGACGTACGTATTATTGTAAACGTATTGTACACGTACCTGTCGTATTTACACAAACTTGGATGTGGGTATAATTTGTTCAGTGAGAGGACTGATGTGTTTTGTATCAACTTGACACAATTGAATTTTAAAAGAATTCATTATTTGTTAGTTTCATTCATGGTCCAGAGAGTATCCTACTTAAGATTTTTGGATCAAAGTGAAATTGGGAATTTTATTTCAATTACCATGCACAAATTCGTATTTAATTACTTACCTGTCCGCCTTGTTTGATTCCACTCGAATGAAATTTGTGTTTTGGTATACATAATAGCCGCGTACAAGACCAAAGACAGAAATTTAGTAGCGAATTGTTTCAACACTTCCGAAATGTTAAATAAATAGGTAATGTCTCCTATTTATCTGTATGAGACATCACTGAGAAGTGAGAACTTCTTGTGTGCATATCACTTCCTGGTTGATGATGTTGCCTCGTGTTCGTTCGATCTTTTATACTAGTGTGTAATTTGTAACTAATTTTGAAAGCAATACTTGAATTCCCGTAGAATACGTGGTGTTAGCCGATGTTCCGATTTGAATAGTTCCCGCTTGAATTGATCCAACAATTTGATAAGAATTATACTGTAATAAATGTGACCCGTTTGGTATCGAAGTTAAAATTATTGGATAACTTGATATATTCAGGCAATTTTTGGTGTAAAGTTGAACTGTCCTGTAACTCGTTGCTTGTGAAGTTGAGTTGTTGGTTACTATCGAATATGTTCATTTACTTAGTATATAGCTATTTGTATTACAGTTTAGAATAATTGGAGAAAATACGTTCCATGTATAGCATTTTATAAAGAATGGAAAAGCTATCATTTTACATCTGTTGGTGTTTCCCGAAACTTATTACAAAGAGCAAATGATTTATAATAACTGTCTTCCTAGAGTTTGAGTCTTCCACGAAGTATAAATTCGCAGAGAATTGAGCATTACTGAACTGTCTTCCTAATGCAGGTGTCTGTCGTGTAATCCTGCGTTCAAGAGCAAATATTTGGTCGCGAAATGTCTTCATTTTACTGATGTCTTCCAATGAATATTACGTCAATAGCGAGTCGTTGATCTTGAAATATGTTGATCTATCTTTTGATGTCTTCTATGAAGTGAGAAGTTAAAGAACAAGTTATTGGTAATGGAAAGTCTTACGTTTTCCATGTCTTCCATGAAGAGAGAAGTTAAAGAACAAGTTATTGGTAATGGAAAGTCTTCCATCTTTTGTGGTCTTCCATCAAGTGAGAAGTTGAAGAACAAGTTATTGGTAATGGAAAGTCTTACGTTTTCCATGTCTTCCATGAAGTGAGAAGTTAAAGAACATGTTATTGGTAATGGAAAGTCTTCCATCTTTTGATGTCTTCCATGAAGTGAAAAGTTAATGAACATGTTATTGGTAATGGAAAGTCTTCCATCTGTTGATGTCTTTTCCACGAAGTGTAAAGTTAATGAACATGTTATTGGTAATGTGTGAGAAGGTATAGAACAAGTTATTGGTAATGGAAAGTCTTCCATCTGTTGATGTCTTCCATGAAGTGAGATGGTATAGAACAAGTTATTGGTAACAGAACGTCTTCCATCTGTTGGTGTCTTCCATGACGTGTGAAGTTGAAGAACAAGTTATTGGTAATGGAACGTCTTCCATCTGTTGGTGTTAACGATCTTCTGAAATCTGGGCTTGGCTTTTTACTAATTAATTTATTAATTACAATATTTTCCTGCGATTTCTTCGAACTGGCTTGGTTCGCGGTAAAGTTCGTGCGTCAAGATAACAAATGCTTTTCTAAAGATCTTCAGCGGAAACTTGGCGAGTGTATTGACGTGTTGTAACTGAGACAAAATACTTTAGAATTTATTCATGTGGAATATATGATCGTTTTAAGGCTTAAAATAACACACTTTTATCGTGACCGTAAAAAATTGTTACCTGCATTAAATGGCTTCTTCTGGACACTGACTTGCAGTTGTTCAGAGAAAGATTTGTTAATGACCAAAATTTAGCTTAATAAATCCTAACAAATAATGACTTGTAATCTAATTCATTTGTAATCAAATTCAGTGTGTGTGGTGATCTTTATTAATGTTCCAAACGAGCATTATGATATTGCGTTCTTTTTATTTTTGTATATTTAGTTTTTACGAATGCAAATCTCGTGTTAAATTCTTTTTGCTGATGATTATACTGAATGCTTGAATTATAGTATTGAACTTTTGCCTATACTAAATAATTATATTAAACGGCTGTTTGCAATACATATATATTATATAAATTATATACCCTAAATTATAATCGCTTGGGGTTCTTGAGTTTTTGTTTGCACGTTTCCGTCAACATGTGACGTCTATATAAACTATTTTCATTTATTTTCTTTCAATATTTCCGACTCGATTTAAGTTCACAATGTCTATTCTTTAGTTACATTGCACTCATGTAGCATGTAGTTTCAGACAAGTCGTGGTCGACAACAATAAAGGACGGGAAGAAATTATCTATAATTAAATTATAGAAACAATTTCTATAATTAAATTATAGAAATTGTTTTCTTCAGCAATCACTGTGAAAACCATAAGGTTTTCAGCGCAATCTTCATCAGAAAATCCAAAATCTTGTAATTTTTCCAATACACGAAAATCTGATAACTCTGATGTAATATGAGGTTACTCAATAATACAATTTATAATTGATAATTCATCATTGTTTCAGATTTTAATTGAGTACCCGAACCTCCGAAGAGTCGATGTAAAATTTGATATGGCTCAAAATTACGACAGTTGATCGAGAAAATGCTATAAATATACCGCCAATCTCGTCATAGTCAAAATTGAAGGATTAAACATACTTGGATTATTCGTTTAGAGACTGATTTCAGAATTTATCAAATTAATGAGTGCTTCTCTTGTAATTAATGTTTAACTCAATTAATACAGTTCATATTAAACTATTGGAATCTACTTCCTGAATCTCATTGCACCGACGGAAGCGCATTCAGACGGTGCCAGTTCTATGCGTAGCTGTCTTTCTTTATTTGCTACAAGGCTACAGAATTCAAGGTAAATGGGCCGTACTGTCAACACTATATGTATACGTAGCTTAAATTGGATATGTATCGTTGTGGGTTTCGCTTGAAAAGCCGTCAGTGATTGATTGAGCGATGCGAACGAATGCAAATGAAGAACGAATGCAAATGAGCGACGAAGAAACTATTGCTGATAAGAATTAGAAGCGATTTTTCATCATTTCTCTTACTTTCTGTCTACGTCTTATGGCTTCACACCGGGGGTATCAGCAGTTTCTGGGTGATGCTGGTAAGGTGCCAGAATGGACAGATGCATGTATCCAACATGGTAGTTTCCTCGATCGTAAGGTTTCATACATTCATTCTCTTAACTTTCTATGTGATGCATGTGCGTTAAGTCTTCGTCAGTGTGAATATTGAACTGTTCGTGAGCTGTTCACAGTTCCTTCTCAAGTACCTAATATACGAAACATGCTGAACTAATAACTGTGTTTCCCTCTCGCTAAATATTCATAGGTTGCCATGATCATAATACTAATGTAGGGATATTAAAAATAATGCGAATAATCGGTTGTTATATACCAAGAGTTCTGCATCTGATTACAGAGTCCCTTTTAAATATCTATGGCCATTATGAACTAAAATGTCATTCTATCCTTGCTTTGCTCTTTCACTAGCCTGGAAAAAAGATTTTTAAATAAATTGTTATAAAATGTCAATTATTGGCTTTAATTGGCTATTATATACATAATCATTGGTATATTTTCTATGTAATTTTAACATGAATCCTGCGATAAAATAAAACCAGTAAACTTTCTGTCATCAATGTTCGACAGTTTCCCCCTAACAGCTCGCGGCAAAATTCTGGCATCTTCGATCTCAGTAAACTTTTAAAGACTGCGAAATTGTATGTTGTTTACTAAGCCATTTTTACCCAAAGTCTCTTACGATTAACTGCACCATAAATGGCCGATCAATTCCTCGACTTTTTGTATAAACAACTGCACCACTTCTCTCTTGCCTTAAAATTATCTGAACACTCGAACATGTTGAATGTTGATATCCTGTATCACAATCTGTGTGATTCTTTGTTGTTTGGTGCAGTATACTTTACTCTATAACTTCAACAGTAGGAAAAAAAGCAAGCTTGTCTGTATGAGACGTACATACGCATGTAACAGTACTAAATTTATAGCTTGATTGGGTCATAGGAGGTTGGGATTTTTGGATTCCAACCTGACTTTCGGATCCCAAGCTGTTGATGGACAATTGGTTGAATCATTATTCCTAATGTTAGCTTGGTGCCGGGCTAAAATAGGAGAATTCACTTATTGAAGCATAATGCAAACTTATCTAAGCATGTTTTAGAATTAGGTTACTTCTGAGCAATGGATGATATTAGCAGATTTTTAACCTCTGCGATTAGCATTGTAAGGTGAATGTTATTCGACTTGTAACTAATCAATTTATTTAAAGGCCACTTGGCCCTTTTGGTGACGTTTCTGGGGATTTTGTGCATTCACGTGTATATGCTTATTATAGGTTATATTGTTCCCTTGTACAGTAATATACTGAGTTGAGGCATCAATTTAATCTCACGTAATGTTCTTAGTTCTTTGGAGTGAAATTTTTATATATCTGAAATAGAAAATTTTCGAGAAAACTATCGTGTGTGGCTAATAATTATCCTTTTCTGAACGGTTGTCTATTAAAGAATGTCAAAAAAGAGATTTAGGCCATTCTTAATCGCTAAGTTTCCACTAGGTTCGATATTTCGAGCCTCTATTTCACGAATTCGTCGGGACTTGTATTTTTCTGGCCGTTGCGAAGTTTCAAAGGCTGTAATACAAATTCGAATGTGTTATCGCGATAGCTTAACGACTTTGCTCGTGGTTTGCCCGATCATTTCGACTTAAATTCTAGGTAAATCTATCAGACCTACAATGCTGTTGAAATTTTGTGAGAATTATACAAATCTTACTCACTTCAACGTACATTTCGAGTCTTCATCTGGGCAACGGCTGCACGTTTTGCTCGTATCCGAGTTTATTCAAACGCCATGTTATTGATCAAAATTAAGTTAGCGTATCGAATTTCATGCATTGCGAAAAAATGCTTATCGATCACTCATTTTAATTGGTAATCATAACTACAATTGAAAGGGTAACGTTTGGCTCCAAAATATTAATTTTTATATCAATTTCCGTAAAAGCTGATACCTACTTAAAATCATCCTGACGAAATTCTCCAGTTATTCATGAGATATGAGAGTAAATAAATCAATTTTTTATGCGTACTCAAACCAACAGATGAAGCATCGTTTCGTGTATGATATATCTAAAACCAGTCATAACCCTAATGAAATATGAGAGTACCTGTATCAATTTAACTTAATTTAATTAATTCAGTTTAAATGCATTACTCGATTTCTGAGATGAAGCATAGTTTCGAGAATTTCGTGTATGATATATCTAAAACCTGTCATAACCCTAATGATATATGAGAGTACCTATATCAATTTAACTCAATTTAGTTTAAATTCAGTTTATATGCATTACTCGATTCCTGAGATGAAGCATAGTTTTATGACGAATGCCTATATCAATTTAACCTAATTTAATTTAAATTCAATTTAAATGCATTGCTTGATTTCTGAGATGAAGCATGGTTTTATGACAGCCCCGAGGTCGTGTGTTGTGACAACCGCGCTCGGCGGTGCAGCGCTGCCCGGGCGACGGAGGCTCTGCCATCGCGACCGACGTGATTGCCTGGACTGCCAGTCGCGGTCTGTAGTGCCGCTCGGTGCGTGATGCAAGCCGTGCATTTGCGCTACATTTCGGAATTGTAATTTCAAATAAATGTTTTATTTTTTCATGTGTATAGAAAAGGAAGTTGCCGTGAGTTTGAATTTAGTTAAAAAAATAATAATAAAGTAAATGCTGGGCGAGTGACTCTATCCGTGCATTAGCGCTGCATCGTGGAATTATAATTTCAAATACTGGTTTATTATTTCAATGAGTATAGAAAAAAATGTAGTAAGTTTGCGCATTGTTAACAATAAATACAAAAAAAAGCTCGGAGAGTGTCGCATGCAGTGCTTATGCGCCGCAACGAGGAATTGTGATTTGGAAAAATGTATTAGAAAATAAAAGTAAGAAAATTAGAAGTTACAGCGAGTTAACATTTATTGAAATTAAATATTCGTTAAAAAATAACGGTTGACAATTTAGAAAGCAATACGTGTACGTTTATGAATAATTCCATGCAGTGCGAAAAAGATATTAATTACGGTAATTAAAAATAGATCTTGCGTTTTCTATTAGAGTTACTAAATACGTACATTAGGGGTAGTAATCTTATCGTTGCTCGTTGTCAAAATACAAAATTATTTCCCGATCAATAACGATTTATTCGACTGTTCAAATTCGAATGTTCATTGAAGCCAA